CGCCATCCCCAGGCTCCCCCTGGGCTTTCCCACCCTGGCACCAAGCGTGAGGTCATGAGGCCATGAGGCCATGAGGCCAGCCTCACCAGGCCACAGGGTGCAGGGCCCCCTTCCCCCCACCTCCCCGCACACCCCACATCTCCCCTCCAGCCATCCTGGGGAAGAATCGGGATGCCTACTGCCCTGACCCTGGCCCTGGCCCAGCCCCGGGCACCTCCTCGCTACCTTCTCTACAAGCTGCCCCCCAGCCCGCCTCCCTCGAGGCTGCACAGTGATGATGACGCCCTCAGTCAGCCAGTCCTCAGCAGAGGCCCCCGCTGCCCCCGCTGCCTCCTCTGCCTCCGGCTGGATGCCGAGCCGACCCTGCAGCTCTGCGATGAGCCGCTCCTGGGATGGGGTCCTGCTCAGGGTGGCGGGGTCCAGCCGGCGGCGAGGGGAGGGCTCCCGGGACATGGGGTGCGCGTGGCCTGTCTCCCGGCTCCTCCTGATCACAGAGCGGATCTGAGGGGGGAGGGGGAAGCCGTCACAGTCCCACTCTGGGCTCAGCCGATGCTGCTCAGTCCACACTCAGGTGCCCCAGGGAAGAGGCAGGACAAAACTGCCAGAAAAGAGCCAAGCTGGGGTGAGGTTGAGGCAGGGGGCAGAGCAGACTCCCTCCACCCAGCGCTCACCTCCATGTCGGCAATGACCTTGGGCAAGACACTTCACCTCCAGGGGCCTCAGCTTCTCTATCCTTGAAATGGGGTTAGAGTACTTTCTTGGCTGCCTTACAGGGTTATCACATTATTTGAAAGGATGTTAAGTGGACATTCTTGAAAAGGCATAAGGCTCTTTCTTTTTTTGATCTGAAGTAGAAAAACGTGATCTTTCTTCCAATAAATCTTTTAATTTTTTCCTTATGTATATTATAACCTGCTCATTTATAGTGGTTTTGGCTTTTTTGTTTTTGCTTTACTTTGTTTTGGGAGAGGACATAAAATTTTAATCACGCAAGAAGCACATAAAAGCAGTAACATTAGCCGTGGCTTATTGAGGACCACATGCTGTATTCTCAGCACTTCACAGGCATTATCTCATTTAATCCTCTGGACAACCTTGGGGGGAAATGGTCTATTATACCCTCATTTTCTCTCTCTCTCTTTTTTTTTTTAAGTAGGCTCCACACACAACGTGGGGCCTGAACCCACGACCCCAAGATCAAGGGTCGCATGCTCTGATGAGCCAGGCAGGTACCCTACTATTACCCCCATTTTAAAGATGAGAAAACTGAGGCTGGTGGAGGGTTGCCCAAGGTCACACAGGGTAGCAAGTACTGGAAGCGCAGTTAATATTCAGTACTATCTGGTTCCAAAGCCCATGCTTTTAACCATTTTGCACACATCACATAAGAAAGGAGGAGCCCACCTAAAGGAAAAAGCCTTAAACGAGCAAGAGGCGACTGTCACTAAGAGATCATTCCAGGGCCCAGAGAATTCCACTGCTGAATCCTGGTCATCAGGGTCACAGGCCACGCGATCTTCGGATTTGCTGCCCAAGCAGACATGCAGAGTGGGAGGCTACATGCGGTTAGGCAGGAGGGGCCCACACTTGGGCTGGCGGAGGACCATGCCTAGCAGCCGTGCGAGCTTGCGCCTGCCTGGCCCGAGGTGGAAATCCTCTCAGTGGTGCTGGGCGTGTCCATGACCATGGCAGGTGGAAGCTCCGACTGTTCCCTCCTGGCAGCAGCTTCAGTGACGCCCTCTGGCCACCTGGGGGTCTCAGGTCCCTGGGTTGGCCTGACCAGGCTTCCCTTCATGAGTGTCTGTCCACCTAACTGCTCCTTGCCAACTGGGGCCGGGCCGCTGCTTTCCAGCTCCCCTGGCTCTGGCTTTGCCCTCTGCTTCCGCTGTCCACATTCCTTGGTGAGACTCCAGGTATCTGGGAAGATGGCCTGACGGTCCACGGCCACGACAGCCGGCTCAGTTACTTCCTGGAAGCTGCATGTGGCTCCGTGGGGCGTCTCAGGCCTGAGCGCCTCCAAAGCCCATGGCTGCTCCCGAGTGGCAGCCACGGCCTCCTCTGGGTACAAAGGGTTGGCCAACAGCCCGTGGGGGGCTCCAGGCTCCTGGGGACCTATACACCCAGCTTGGCCGGGTAGCGTGTGGCAGGGGGGGCCCCCGGAAAGCTTACTTATAAGATTCGGTAGATCTTTCCAAACCTGAGTCTGGCTCTTTGCACCTAATGGCCCCAGAGACCCCTCCATAGAAGGAGACCCTGAGTTGGGAGTATCAGGCGTCACCCGGAGGCCAGCCAAATCAAGCCAGTTGGGAGCCACAGGAGGTAGAAGGCCCCGTCCATTATCAGTGTCCTCAGAGCAGAGGACCTCCTGGCTAGGACTGTGGCCTCCAGAGGAGGGTTTGGTAATGGATGGCAAGAATACAGAGGGCCCAGGAGGAGGAGGAGAAGGAGGAGGAGGAGGAGGAGGAGGAGGAGGAGGAGGAGAACGTATGAGGTGTGGGGATGGAGCTGGTTTGGGCAGCAGCTCTGGGGAGCTCAAGGCCACAGCAGAGGAGCTGGTCTGGAGGAGGAGAAAAACAAAAGACAGAAGGGAGAGGAGAGATAGACGGAGAGGGGAGGGGAGGTGCTCACCGCAAGGGATGGGCTTGGGCTGAGGGCTCTGAGAGCCACCATCAACACTGACCTAGACTATGCCGAGGTGGCTATGAAGGTGAAGCATGAGGACTGGCCTGAGAAAAAGACCCCAGACCCCAAAAAGGTGTTCCTGGGCTCCACATCCTTGGCTCCCGTCAAAGCCATGCCTGTGGGACCACCCGAGTCAGAGTAGGTACAAGGGAGAAAACGCTATGGAGAAGTGGACCACAGGAGACAGGTGGCCAAGGAGGTTAGCCCAAGCACCGATCGAGAAAGAGTCGGCCGCAGGCAGCTGCCCTGCTCTGCCAAACCTGGCCCAACGTGGCTGTCTCTCCCAGACAACCCTACCCTTCCTCTGGCCCCCAAGACCTTGCTCTCAGGGCACAGCCAGAACTAGTGCGGCTTCTTGTAGGACACTACGACCCTGGCTGTCTCAGAAAGCAAAAGGAGCCTAAAGGGAAGGAGGGCAGGCTCTCCAAGGCCAACACCAGAGTCCAACACCCTAAGAATCTGACAGTGGCTACTCACCACTTAGAACCGTGACGGTCACAAGCCCAGATAGCTCCCATCCCCCACTGTGAATCCCCAGCTGGAGGGACTCTTGGAGGTACCCTCAGGGCCAAGAGCACTCAGACTGCTTGCTCCCCTTCTCAGATTCCCTGTATCATGCCCCAAAGGTCTCGGGCAGACCCACGTGGAAGGATGAAGTCAGCAACTGTTGGAGATCAGTCAATATCAATCCCCATGGAGGAACTGCATCTTCTAAATAAAACATCTTGGGCCTGGCAGGCCCAGGAAGCCCAGGATGGGAGGGGAAGGGAGGTCTCGTGCAGAACAAGCCCAGTAGCCTGACAGGTTAAGACAGAACCTATGGGGACTCAGAGGCTTGTGGAGGGTTGGGGAGAAGGACAGAGGGAGGCTGATGGCTGGAGGCCTATGGATTCAGGAGCCAGAGGCAGAAAGAAAAAGGACGTGTTGAGGACAGCTAGCCAGCGTGGGAGACGGGACTCCAGGGCAAATGACCTCTCAGGCACAGGATCCCAGTCCCACATGGCCCATCAGAGAATGCCCTCCCCCACTAAGAGCAACCATCAACACAGAGCCCTTTGTCCCAGCCTCCTGATCCCCTTGCCTGGGTGGCTGGGAGCTGGGAGCAACCCGGGAGGAAGGAATGTCCCTGCAAAGTGCTTCTCTGCCTTCACAGGCTGTGAGGCAGCCCAGTCCCGGAGGAAGCCTGGGCCGGACCCTCCCTCTCCCACATCCCGGCAAGGCCAGAGCATTTCCAGGTCCCCGGCTCAGGGCAAGGCACCCGGACGCTGAGGGACTGAGTTCTGGCTACTCACACTGAGGTACAGGAGGAGAAGAATGAGGGGGCAGGGCGGGGGAGAGGAGGGGTCTTGGGGCACCTTGAAATCCGACAGCGAGGCCATCAGCTCGTCCAGCTCCCTGGTGGCAGAGGAGGCTGACATGCGTGTCTGCTGCTGGCTGGAGGTGGCTCTCTGAGGGCTGCTCACCTCGCCCTGGTTCACAGTGATGGCAGGGCTGCAGGGCAGGCACGGCGTCAGCAAGGGCCCCGGGGTCAGCTCCACGTGCCCCCAGAGTGGCCCTCTCCTCTTCAGGGTACCAACATCTCTGCTCTCCCAGCGGGGTCCTCCCGCCCCTGACTCCACAGAAGCCCTGCAGCTCCCGATCTCTCCTGGGAGCCAGAGCGGAGGTGAGCGGCCGGCACAGGAGAAGGGAGGGCAGCTCAGGGGGCACCTTCCCCAGGAAGACACCTCTGGGCCTCCCAACCCGGCTTCAAGCTTGCCTGTTAAACAAGCCCAAATGGGATAAAGGACTTGTTCATCCCTTGCGTATCCCCCATGACACTGGATGTACATGTGAGATTGTTCCAGCAACACAGTAACAGCAAGAAGAGCTAACATTCAGTAAGCCCTTACCACGTGCATCATGTGCTATGAGCCGGAAACCATTCCAAACACTTGACACGTATTATTGGCTCTCATCCCATTGAGGTAGGTGATCTTATCACCATTGTGCTATATCCCTTCATCCCATTTTATAGACAGGAAAACTAAGGCTTGAGAGACGATGCTTAGTAAGGACAGAACCAATATGTGAACCCTTATAGTGTGGCTCCAAAGCCTGTGCAGACAGCTGCTAAGCTATGGGTGTCCTTGTCATACACAATGTCATCTTTTCTGATAGGTGGTGGTTCACTGGAGGCAGGGAGGGTGTTCATGGGACTCCACTAACCCCCCAGCGCCAGGTACGGGGCCTGGCAAAAAAGAGGCACTCGCAGAGGGAATGGGTGACAACTCGGCTAAGTGGACAGACACCGGGGCATAGGCACTGGCTGGGTGAGACCTTCCCTGCTGGGAGAGCCCGGTGATACTCACACTGGGCTGGGCACAGAGCTCTCCAGTTCATCCAAGAGACTCTCCACACTGGGCCGCACGTCCTCCAGACCACGGCCCCCATTCCGCTTGGGCTTCTCTTTGGTCAGGGGCCCAGCTTTGCCCCCCAGTGGGCTGTTATTCTCCGGGATGCCACAGTGGGGGCTCAGAGCCCCAGGCAGTGGGGGGCTGGAGTTGGCCTCATCTTGGAAGAGTGAGAGAGAAAGGCTGGTCAGCCCTGACCCCTCTGGGGATCCAGAGGCCAGCAGGTGGATCTGGAGGGGGCAGGAGGGTGTACAGGGATTCAGTCCTACCTGCAGGGAAGCCTGGGGGGTTATGCTGCACAGCGTTCAGTTCCAGCAGCAGGCGGTCAAGTTCAGAAAGGTTGCTGCCCAGGGAGGAGCTCATCACTGTGGGTGAAGGCTCGGCAGACTTCTGCTTGTTGGGGAAACTGAGAGGCAAAGGGGAGGTCACAGTGAGAGGCGTCCCACCCCCGTAGTTTTGGTGGCCTCCAAATTCTCAAGGAGAATAAGGCAGAAGGCGTACAAAGTCTCCCCCCCAGCAAGAGATTAGAGAGGAAGGAAGGGATGTGGTAATAAAAAGAGAGGAGGAAAAAGTCTTGCCTCAGTTCCTCAAAGACACAACGTGCTGTGACAACCCAACCCTGCTGCTGCGTGGAGATGGCAATGCTGAGGCCACCGGGCCAGTCCAGAGGCATTAGGAGCTGGCCGGGAGCCTCAGGGCCTTCTGTGGGCTGTTGGAAGCAGGAGGGGAAGGAGACAGGCAGGCAGGTACCGGGGCAGTACCTGTAGACGTGCTCTTCCTCACCGGCGCGGGGACATGGAGGGCCGCCGCCGTCCTGGGGGACGGAAGCACTGGAAGTTTTGGCACTGGAGCCGTACACAGGTGACGGGGACTGAGGCTGCAGGGAAGAGAACGCTCAGAGCCTCCCCCAAGGGGAGGAGAAGGAAGAGCCCGAGTCACCCCCAGGAGGTTCCTGCTCACAGACAGTCTCACCAGGGAATTTCCACTCTGGCTGGGAGACAGGTGATTAACACTTGGTCACTTGCCCCCTCACGTGGCATCTGGGAGACCTGGATATTTCCTGGCCCCTCTCCCTCTCCCTCGACCCCATTCCTCCCCCGGTTCCCCAAACGCCTACAGTCCCGAAGCCTCTGTTCCCTGTCTTCCCAGCCACTGCCCCCACCTTACCTGCTGGTGGACGAATCGGGAGGCACTGGGCTGCCACTGGTCTAAGGGGTCAAGGATCGTGCCATTGAGGGCCTCACTGGATGGGGGTGGAGGGACAGGGGGCGGCACGGCAATCTCCTGGTATGTGTGGTTTCCAGTTGGGTATGAGTAGGGGGTCTCCTCAGACAAGAACACGGGCCGTTTGGAGATGTGGGAGGTGGTGGACTCCAAGTCTGCCAGCAGGGCGTCTGTGGAGAGAACAGGCAGAGAGCTGGTAGGAACCAGGGATCCTGGACCGCACGGTCCAGCGGCAGTGCCTTTCCTGCTTGCTACACCCAAGAGTTAATGACTTCTGAGCACCTGCCCCACCCCTGGGAGAAATAACCAGCCTCAGGGCAGGAAACTGTCAGCCCAGACCAGTCTGGCTAAGAACCCGCTTCCAAAACTGACCTCTTCTCCCCAGCCCAGGACTGAAGGTGCCATGGAGGCTCCGTGGGCTGCCTTTGGGACTCTCCTACCTCTGGCAGTCAGGCACCTGTGTTCCCTGCAGACAGGGCTGTGCAGCTGGCTGGCTGGAAGTCAGAAATGCCTGCCTGGCACTCTGACTTCACAGGGCAAGGCGGGGAGAATGGGCGGGAGGGGCCGCACGTCACGGGGAGGGGCCCAGGCAGTGCCAGGTCCCACTTAAATTCCAGGAGCTTAGGCTTTCTCAGTGCCCCCCCACCCCCCCACCCCCGCCCCGACTAGAGCAGTCCCGGGGGTGTGGTACCTGCCTTTCTGGCTAGGTAGAAGTAAAACCCCAGGCTCCGAGCTCCTCCTGAGACTTCTGGGCAAGGCTCTGGGCTACTGGGGTGAGGTACGCGAGGAGGTGGGGGCTGGTCGAGGCTGGTGCAGTGTTCCCCACCCCCTCAGCCAAGCAGGGGGCAGGACTGCTCTGTAGGCTGTTCCTGCGGAAGCCTGGCAAGCAGCCTGGCCCCAGAGGCTCCAGGGCCCCACTACTCTGCTTTTAACAGCAGCAAGGGAGCCGAATCGAGTACAAGCTTCCATTACTCTGGCACCAGGCAGCCAACAGGGGGGCCCTGGATCTCCCCAGTCCCCAGACGAGGGAACAGCTGGAGGGGCAGGAGTAGGAACTGTGGAAAACCCCCCAACTTCAATCCTCCCCTCCTGGGACCCTCAACAGCCCCACAGCCCAGAGAGCCTGGCCCCAACACCACACCCTCATTCCTACCATGTTCAGGGACTTGCTCACTCTCACTTCCCTGCCGACCTGCTGAGGGTCAGGAATGACGCTCAGTCCCTGTGGGCCTTAGGATATTACATATCAGAAAGCAATGGCTGTGCCTACTGCCATTTACTAGTAACAGGCACTGTGCTAGGCACTGTGTGTACATGGTCTGTCTGTTAATCGTAATCCTGGATAAACCTGGAATTCTGATCCTCCCTTTGCAGATGGGAAAAGGGGCTTCAAGAGGTGATGGGGCTTTCCCAGATAACAAAGCCAGTGACAGACAGGACTGTCTGGCTCTTCAGAAGCCCCAAACCCCAAAAATCTTGCCTGCAAGAGTCTGCTGGGATCACGACATGATGCCACATTTAAACAGCACAATTTCCTGAATGTCAGCGCCCAGGATCAGAGAGCTACCAGTCTCATTCTTCCTAATGGCTCTGTCCCCAACCCTACCCCAGCTCAGCAGAGGGAAGCAAGGGGGGCCCACACCTTCCCCCAGGTGCCTGCCCGTCCTCCCACCCCCAAGGCTGGCCACACCTACCCCTGGCCCCTACCCAGCTGGTCAGAGGGGGAGCCTGTCACAAGGCCCAGGACCCTGGGGCCAGTAGCGCAGCACAAGGGTCTCCTGACTTCCAAGGAAGTTCCCGCAGCCCCCTCCCACTCCAGATCCTCTAGGAGATGTCTGGCTTCCTGTCTCTACCAAATCAGAACTAATGACAGTCAGTGTGCACCTAGGTAATGACAGAAAAGGACCCAGCGTCCAAGGCCAATCCCAGTGGCCTCTGCACAGCCGCACCTGCTGCCCTGGCTTCACGCAGCATCCCCATTTCTTCTGGGCCCAATCCAGCAGGGGCAACCCCCAGCTGGAAAACCCCAAAGGGCTCCCCAGAGCAGGCAACAAGTGCAATACCAGTGAGACTAAAAGGAGCAGCTGCCATGCTTGACCACCCACCACATGCCAGGAGCTTTACCTGTGTTCCTTCCCTTCCTCCTCACAGCAAAACTAGCACGGAGGGGAAAGTGAGGTTCAGAGAGGTAGATAGAGTCACGTCCCCATGCTGCTGAAGCCTGCTGCCATGACACAGCCAGGATCTGAACTTGGCTCTCTCAGGCTCCAAACACTCAGTAGAAGACAAATGGTTAACCCATTCCATCAGACCCTCTGAGTGAGGGCCTCCACTGCCCTCTGCCTCGAATACCCCATCCCCCCTAGTCATGAGCTGACTCTAAGTCTGGTTTATAATTTCACTTGTGTGTTTTAAGTTTATTTACTTATTTTGAGAAGCGGGGTGTGTGTGTGGGGGGAGGGGGAGGGAGAGAGAGAGAGAGAGAGAAACCAGTGGGGGAGGGGCAGAGAGAGAGGGAGAGAAGATCTGAAGCGGGCCCTGTACTGCCAGCAGCGAGACCAACGTGGCGCACTTAAACTCACAAACCAGGAGATCGGGACCTGGGCCGAAGTCGGACGCTTAACCCACTGAACCACCCAGGCACCCCTCACTTGGCTCTTTTGAACACTGATACATCTATTGGTCAAAAGGAGCAGCCCTAGGGAACAGAAACAAAAGATCCCAAGAGTTCAAGTCTCAGTTCCTCTATCTACTATCCACGGCCAAACAGCAAATCCCTTCACTTCCTTGAGCCAGCCTCAGTTGCCTTGGCAAGCGTGATTCCTACCTCACAGCACTGGTGTAAGGTTTATATAAGCCAGCAGATGCTACGCTACATGGGAAGCTACAAACATCAGATCTTATTTGTCTTGTGACATTCTGAAAAACATCTTCCTCCAAGGAGATCAGGGTAGGATGCAAAGTACTGACTTCTCCTACATGTTCTATGGGTAGAATCTGGGCAAAACATGACAAGGGCAATCTGGAAGAGAAAAACAAAGTGACGAAGTAACATTCAGAGTGAAACCTGTGTGGATGCCTGGGAGAGAGCACATCAAACTTGCGTCTATCTGAGTGAGAGAGAGAACACACGCGCAAGCCAGCAAGCCACAGGGCCTCTAGTGTAGCTTCCTTCTCTCTCTGCACCGTCTTTGCTCAGTGACTGCACAGGACTTGGCGTCACTGTCCCCCCACAGGCTCCCCCAAATGCGTCAAAAAAGGGAGCCAGGAATAGAGGAGGCAGCCAGGGAGGACTCTGGCCTCTACTTTGGATTCCTATGGGTGCAGAAGACTGCTATGTCCCCATGGCCTAGAAAATGGTTACAGGCCAAAGTCTCCTTGCAAAAGCTCAGCAAACTCCTCCCCTGCTGAGTAAACAGAGGCAGCAGGAAGAGGACTGATCAAGGGAGTCCACTTGCAAGCAGCACCACATGGGTGAGTCCCCCAGTTTTCAGCTACAGCTACTGCCTGGTACTTAGCTCTAAACACCCGGGGGCCAGGCTCAGTGTCCTACTCAGATCCCAAAAAAGGGGTCAGAGAAAATGGTGCCCATTGGAACACTTTCCCCCCTCCCAGTGTTTGTAGAATACGTTCCAGATACACAGAAGCAGGATCTGAAGCAATGGGGGCTCCCTCATCCAGGCTAAGGAAAGCTTCAAACTTCCTCAGCATTTCTCCACTAACTTTCTGGCTCCAAGCCTGAGACCTCCAGAACAAGTCAGAGCCACTAGGAGCACCCAAGCCACTCTGCGGAAGGAGGCTCTCCCTGGGGCTTCCCGTTCCTTTTCTGGAAGAAACCGCCCTACATTCTGCAGGCTTTTTGCCTCTCTGGGCCAGCTGATGCATGTCCTGCATTTCCATCCAACGTGTGTGTCGGAGGAGGGTTCTCCTCTCTAGGTAGGTGAGGGAAGGGATGGCTGGCTCGGTGCAAAGACTTCCAACCCACCGGGGGCAAAGGACACCCAGCTATGCCCTGGCGAGGAAAGGGTGCGGTCCGTCCGCTGCTTCCCGCCAGAGGGCGCTACTGGCCCGTCAGCTTCCTGCCGCAGGCAGTAACCAAAGGTAAACTCGGCGCAACCACCAAATTTTCGAGCCGGGGAAGACCCGGGAGCCCCCGGTCAGGGGTTCCCTGGGGAAGCTTCAATCTCGAGAAAGCTCGGCTGAGCTGGAAGGAAGGAGCAGCTACGGGAGGAGCACGAGGAGGCCTGGGTGCCAAACCTCTCACCCGTGCCTGGGGCACACCATTTGAAGGCGCGACCCAAGAGTGACGCAGCCCCGCGAGGGCCCCGGAGACCCACAGGGACGCACGCCCCTCCGCAGACGCAGCGCCAGCGGGCGCCCCGTCCCCACCCTGCGGCCGCGCCTGGGCCCAAGCAGCCGCTCAGATCAGAAGCGCCTTCGGGTCCAGAGGCCGCTCGGAGGCTGCTTGGGGACAGGCGGCCTGGGTGGCTCGCAGCACCGGGCCGGGCAGAAGCGAAGAGGCCCTTCCCGGCAGGCGGCAGGCGGGTCGAGTGGGGAGG